AAATAATGTTTTGAATAATGGATTTTTGGAGAATGTGTAGTTAAAAAGTAGAGAAAAATTTTGAATTTACATTTAGAATATTTTAATTTGTGAATGTCTATTTAAAAATGAATGTGTAGAAAAAATAATTTGGAAGAATATGAGACAAAGACGAGTTAAATTAGTTAATTGATTGTTAACACCAATAGATAAGGGTAGTAGGATATCAATTGAAATGATTGTTAATTGACTTATGTAAAAGCAGAATTTCTAACTACCTAATCTCGTAAATCTTCCACAATGTTTTCAAGCTTTGCAATTTAAAACCTTTCTAGTATATTTGACAGCATTTTAGGTAGAGATGTCAATAGGCCGAATCGAGTCGGCTCGTGGCTCGTGGAGAAATGAGCCACGAGCTCACGAGCCCAGCCAGTTCGTGGCTCGTTTGCTCGTGGGCGAGCTCGGCTCGGCCCACGAGCTCACGAGCTGAGTCGGCTCGTGGCTCGTCAAAATTTTTTTTTTTTTTAGTTTTTTTTAAAAAAATTTTAGTGTTTTTTTCACAAGCCCACGAGCTGCTCGTGAAAAAACGAATTTGACGAGCCCGAGCGGCTCGTGACTCGGTGTAATAAAGTTATTTGCTAGCTTTGCAATAAGTTAACCACCAAACTATTTCAATTAGGTTTGAAAATTTTGGCTATTGACAGCGCCACTCAAATTAAAAAGAAAAAGACGCTTGACTTTTTGTTCAGAGAAAAGAAAAGCATATTGACTATGCTTGTTTGGTATATTTGAGCTCCAAATTTTTGGAAGAATAAATTTCATAATAATGAGATAAATTTATTTTTCTTGGTAGCCACCAATTTGATTCATTTTAATTATATTAAAAAATAAAAGATAAATCACAATCAATAATTTAATTACATTTATAGTATGTAAAATTCATTCACAAACAGTCCATTATTCCTATAAAAATAGACTTGTTTTCATTTTTCGTCTATTCCCAAATACATTTTCCTTGTTGATAGTAGAGATAATTGTTTAGCATTCTAATATGCACATATTAATATAACTTTTTTTTTTCAAGAAGCCCCCTGCTTGAGCCCCATTTTTTTTTTTTTTAAGAATGCATGTTTTGAAAACTTATTTTCAACCATGCATTTTTTTATAAAATAATTATAGACGTATTTCCAAAAAAAAAAAAAAAAATCTTACTTTTTAATCACACATTGCCCAAAAAATTACTATTCCATAATACATTTTATCCAAAAAAGGGATCAAACATGGGCTAAATATGAAATATTCCAATTTAAATTATTATTTAATGTATGTGTATAATAGGAAAAATGTAAGTAAAATTTATATTTTCAACTACATTAATTACATTTCCTTAATATGTGTAAAAATAGAAATAATTTTTTATCACGGTGAGACAAACATAAAATAACGTATCCCCTTTTCTTTTTGTAGCAATAATTATGTTTCAGAATCACAGTAAGTATTTATTATTCTTGCAATGTACTATATAATGATATGCTTTGCCAGTTTGGTAAGTCAATAAATCATGAAACCTCAAAGATTGTCGAGTTCATTAGTTGTTCAGTTGAACTAGTCATTTCGAACATGAACCTTGCTACACTTACATACAGTGGTACACAATCTCCTACACAACTCTCTCACATATGTGTGGGTCCCAAAATGTAGGGGTCATTGTGAACCCCACACACATGTGAAAGGGTTGTGTAGGAGATTGTGTACCAAGTGTGTACAAGTAATATTTTTGTTTCGAACATATTACTCCATCTCCTCCCATCTTTTATGGATCAAGGTTAAGGTTTCTTGGCTGAAATACTTGTACATATTTTCAATTACGAGTGAACATCCAAATGTGTTTGAGAGAGCTATTTTGTATTTTCTCTTGGTGCGGAGTTTTTGAGAGATATATGAGATTCTTTTTGAAATATCTGGCTGCTGATGTATTATGTACTCGAAATATTGATTGTGAACTGATATTGTCATTGCTATTACTCTCTTTTCAGTGTAAGCTCAACAAGGACGAATGCCTTTGTGGTTGAACCTTGATCAAATTCGATGTAAGTATCATAATTAAATTTGCTCCAAACAAATGTGCGGTTATAAAATTCATTCAAGTAATTAATGCAATTAGTTGGCATTTAATTTAATTGTGATGCAAAATGTAACTACTTTCAGCTTGTTGTGTGTAGCAAATCCACGTAGCATCATTGCCTTCTCTAATCGTGGATGGTCTTCATCAACCCAATAATCCACTCATATTGTAACTAATATTCTACGTACTCTTGAAATCAAAATGGTAAAATAAAGATTATCACATTGTCTTTAAATTTAAAGGCTAAAAACTCCATTTTTTTTTAAATTTAAAAACTTATATTTCAGTAGGACTTCCAATTAAGCAAATATCATTTATTTGGAAGATGAAAGATGACTAATTGGTGAAATTTGAAAGTAAAATTGAATTTTAGTAATTCAATTCAAACAAAGAAAAATTTAATGACCTAATTAAGATTTTGCTAAAAGTTTAGTGACCTTAGAAAAACTTCAGCGACCTTAGAAAAACTAGAGATGACAATGTGCACAAGTATAAGGTGGGTTGGCCATTCCCGTCCCTCACCTCATCAGGTATTTTTGTTATCTTATTCCACCATCATGCTCGATTATATTAGGGCGAGCCACCTGCACGGTTTATTGTATCTTTAATTAGTGAATATTATTACTTTTTTTTTTCAATTTGTTAAAAATAACTCACGTTGTATTTTAAAAATGATAATAAATATTTTATTTTATTTAATAAATAACTTAAATTTTAAATTAATTTTAAATGAGTTCTAATATCATATTTTTTGTACACACCTCGTACTCGCTTTGGGGGCAACGATCCTCGTCTCGTCCCTGCGTTGCCCAATTAGGCGGGTATTCCTCGTCTCGAATGGAGCGAAACACATGAGTATCAAGTTGAATGATTTTTTTGCCATTCCTACGAAAACCTTATCCAATTACAATGCTTTGGAGCATTTACTTCAACCTAAAAAGAGTAAAAGTACTTGAAATTAAGCTCATGTTTGGTGATCATTCTTTCCAAAAAAAAAATAGTTTATTTAGAAGAATGCATGATTAAAAATCAGGGAAAAATTTTGAGTTTACGTGCAGAATATTTTATTATGTGAATGTGTCGTTGAAAATGAGTATGTAGAAAAAAGTTCTAAAAGTATGTGAATCGAACATGGGCTCAGTTTAGTTAAACATATGTTCAATTTAAAATTTGCTTTTCAGTAATTTCTCTCTCAAACATATTTTAAAAAAAAAATCTAATTAAAAAAAAAAAAATTTCACCTACTTCCCAAAAAAGCAATGATTTAGTGGCTTATATTTATACATTCTTAAAATTTTTCTTACATTGAATCATTCGTATATATGTGTAAATATAGACAACATATATAGAATTTTTATGGACTTCTTTGTTTGTCTGATTCGAGGGATTGAGTTCTTAAGTATCATAGTCGTTTTTTATGTATAAATATTTCCCCGAATATTCTTTGAGCCAAACATTACTTAACCAAATGGTGATTAAAGAGACAAATTTTCAACGGAGAGAACGGTTTCTGGGGGCTGCTGGCCCCCTTTCAGTATAAGTAAACGTATTTAATAACAGGATTATGTCATTAATAAAGTAATTAATTAAAAGCACGCCTAAATAAAATATATAGATTAAGGTTACTCACAAGCAACTGGTTTCATGGATGAGAGAGAAACAAAATCAAACAATAAAGACAAATCCGCGATTTGAAAGAGAACAACAACTCACTCAGAAAAGCATTTCCACCCAACCCAACCCCACACCGCACAACACCCTTTTTCGATTGGTCTAAATATATAAAACTCATTGCATAGAACGAATTCTTGAAATTTGACGTGTTGATGTTGCAGATTTCCTGTGTTTTTCGTGTTACAGATGGAGGACGAAGTAGAAGAAGAAGAGGGATATATATCACATGTTTATGTATGTGATCATCGTATATTTGTGTTTATGTTGTAAATAATTGAAATATTGAATTTGTAGTCTGAAAATTATGGCGAGAGAGAAAAGGGATATTCGGCCGGTGCTTTTGAAATTTGGGGTTGCGTTTGCTCTTTCTCTTGGTGGGATTCTTTATACCCTTTTCAAGAACAAAAAAATAAAACCTGATAAATCTCAACCTCCACAGCCTTCTCAAGGTATTATTTCTGTTTCAGAATTGCTTTTTTTTTTTAATTATAAATGATGAATGATAATTTGAGTACAGATTTGGGAGGGGAAAGTTGTGAGCTAGATAATGATGATGAACCTCTGCACAAATCATCCCGCAATTCTCCTGAAATTTCACGCGGAAAATATGTAAGATGATTAGATTATTTATTTGCATTTAATGTTTTAGATGTTATTTTTGTGCTGGTTCATATCCTGTATTTGACTTGCTTTGGATGTTCTATGTAAAGCGATACATGTAGTTGGGAATAAGGCTTAGATTTTTTTATTTTTTATTTTTTCCCTTCCTGAGATTTGATCTATATCATATTTTCGGAAATTATTGATAGAAATTGAGAAAATAATGAAAAAAGTAAAAATTTCATTGATCTTATAAACTGATAGGATCAATTGTTTTGACTATTAATTCAAAAAAGTTTTGTATGAACGTTCTGGAAATCAAGAATTTGAAATTTACAGTAACTATGGTAGTGGTTAGTTTTACAAGGATTTTTGAGGGCAATAATTATAATTATCATCGANCAAGAATTTGAAATTTACAGTAACTTTGGTAGTGGTTAGTTTTACAAGGATTTTTGAGGGCAATAATTATAATTATCATCGTTGCTATTTAATCATATATCAACTCCCTTCAGGCGAGTAAACCTGAAACAAAATTCTTTCATGTTTAGAGATTTTTACTTATATTTGTAATTTTGGTTTCTTTGAAACTAATAATATTTGCCTTGCTTTTTACTTTTTTGATTACTTGAGAACTAAATTTCTGAACTTAGCTAATTAAATCGCTGTAAATCTTGATCTGTTCTGGCTGTCTTTCTTCTGATCAGCTGAAAGAGTCTATTATGGTGATGCCGACTTTCCTATTTTTAATAAACATTATTTTCTTTCTTGAAGGAGTCATCTTCCCCAAAGGTTACTTGTGGGAATTTCACCAAGGATCTCTCTCCGAATGCTAGATACATTGGAGATAGAGACGGTTATCTCTTGCCAGAATCCGTTGATCTTGTAAAGGAATGTGATTCAACTGTCAAAGGGGCTGGTATATCTCCACGGAAAAATACGGATACTCAAGTTCTCGATGTAGAATCACCACAGGGATGCAAATACATTGAACACGATGAACCCGACAGAGAGATTAGGGGCCTAAAGAGCAAGGTTAAACTGCTCCAAGAGAGGGAGAGGAACCTGGAGATTCAACTTCTCGAGTACTACGGCATTAAAGAGCAGGAAACTGCAGTTATGGAGCTACAGAACCGGCTAAAATTGAACAGTATGGAGGCTAAACTTTATAAACTTAAGATTGAGTCCTTACAGGCCAACAATAGAAGACTAGAGGCCGAAGTGGCTGATTATGCAAAAGTCGTGTCGGAACTGGAGGCTGCAAAGGCCGAGATAAAGCTGCTTAGGAAGAAACTTAGGTCTGAAGCTGAACAGAATCGGGAACAGATCTTGACCCTACAAGAAAGAGTAATGAAGCTGCAGGACCAGGAATCCAATGGTGTCAAAAACGACCCTGATATGAAATATAAGCTTCAAAAAATGAAGGAACTCGAGGTCGACATAGAAGATTTGAGGAAGTCGAATCATGGCCTGAAGCAGGAAAATTCTGAATTGGCTGAGAAATTGGAGTATCTACAAATGATTGCTACTTCCGCTTTAGATAATGAAGAGGTAATTCTTTCAATTAATAGCTATTATCTTATTTTTACTGTAGTACACGAGTTTGTTCTTGATTTTGGAAATTTTTTTTACAGCAGATTCAAGCACTTAAAAAAGAAAGTCACCATTTAAGACAACAAAATGAAGATTTAACTAAGGAAATTGAACGTCTC